AAACTCGCCCTGACAAGGGTGCTGGTGTAGTGCTTCTGAATCGAAGAGACTACATCGAGAAAATGAACGATATACTGTCGAATGAGGATAAATTTTCACAACCTTCCAATGAAAGAAACAAGACGGAACAGATTGAGAAGCAGCTCACAGACGTCTTAAGATAAGAGAATGAAGGCCAGTCAACTAATCAGTGGAGATATCTACCACCAGATCCGGCCAACAGGTTCAATAATACCAAGACTTTATGGTCTACCGAAGGTACACAAGGTTGGTCTCCCACTTCGTCCAATTCTGGATATGTCAGGTTCCTCTTACCACTCTATTGCACAATGGCTAGCAGATATTCTGGAACCTGTAAGGAAGCAATTATGTACGCACTCACTCCGTGACACCTTCCAGTTCATCGAGTGCATACAAGACATGAATGTATCTAACAAAATTATGCTGTCCTTCGGCATTGAGTCACTTTTCACTAATGTCCCACTCACAGAAACGGTCTGCTTCATATGCAGACATATAGATGACAACCACCTGAATATTGGAATACCGACAACATATTTGAAAGAATTATTATTGAGATGCACTCTGAATGTCCAGTTCACATTCAACGACACCATCTACAGACAAAAGGATGGTATTGCAATAGAATCTCCGTTGGGTCCACTACTATCAAATTGCTTCGTGGCAAACCTCGAGAGACGTTCACTAAAGCCAAGCATTGACAATTTGCGACTGTATAAAAGATATGTGGACGATATTTTCGTTATTTGTGACAACAACAATGATCCCAATTTATTGCTGAAGACATTTAACAATTGCCATCCAGCAATAAAATTCACTCTTGAAATGGAAAACGAGTCAAAAATTCCGTTTCTTGATTTGGAACTGACAAGAAGAGCTGATGGGAGCCTAAGAAGATCAATCCATAGAAAACCTACGTGGAATGGTCAACTAACAAGCTTCTATAGCTGGGTACCCATTCAACAAAAACGAAATTTAATTAAATCACTTGCTACCCGCATCCGACGCATCTGTAGTCCCGACGTTCTGGAAACAGAATTAGATATTCTGAGAGAAATATTCATCCAAAATGGATACCTAATAAGATTCATCGACGAAAATATGAAACCAATAATTCGGAGAAACGAAACTTCAATTGTGCCTAAAAAGAAACTCTACATGAACTTGGATTTCAAGGGAGATTTAGCAAGCGATATTCTCAAGAGAAGGATCACATCATCTCTGAGAAGAACATTCTCTGCAGCAACGCTAAGAATAGTGTTCTCCAGTCGCCCACTGATCTGCAGAAGCCTCAAGGACAAGATTCCGCATCTGGCCACTTCTGTGTGCATATATCAGTTCACCTGCTGCTGTGGAGCCAGGTACATCGGTCGTTCGACGCGCATCCTGTCCAAGAGGATTCAAGAACACTATCCAGCCAGTATGGTTGCGAAAAGGCAATAGTGGGGCGATAAGGAGTGCGATAATTGAACACCTGGTTAACACTGATCATTGCATTTCAACAAACGCCTCCTTCAAAGTAATCTACAGAGTCAAGAATAACCTATCAAAGGCAATACGGTTTCGTCTCCTTTGTATCGCTGAAGCTCTGGCCATTCACATGGAAAAACCGGAGCTGTGCATACAAAAGAAGATTACTCAACCACTTCTACTCTCATGGTAACAATGTTTTGATTTGTTTTGAGGTTTTATTTTTATTTTGATGACTTAATTTTGTTTCTTTGCCTGTTCTTTAATTGCTTACAATTCTTGTATTCACTTAGATCTCTTACATAATTTCATATTATCTACTTTGTTTCTATGTGAATCCTGAGTAAAACTCACTCATCAAACTACTCATATTATTATTACATAACTTCTTTTAACAACTGTTTGTGACACCTCATCACCTTTGTTACTACCCTAGTTCCATTAACACCTAATTGTCTTGACTTGTATTACCAACCTTCACTTGTTTAGTTAAAAGTAACCTTAACCAATTGTAATTGTGTTTGACAAACTTAATGTACACATACATACAAAACAATGCACATATATATTTGGGATTGTACAGCTAAGAAAATGAATCCGCCGATCTACGTGTTTTATTTTCATTAATGCCTGGATGGGGATTATCCATGAATAATCAAATAGTCAGAATTCTATTTTAAACTATTTGTTAGAATGTTAGACAATGCACAGTTAGGTAGAAGCAAATTTACATGCCTACAAATTGTTAAACATGTTGGAAGGTTTTAAAGTGATTTTTAGTTGAGTGACTGAAAATCTGATATAAGAGCAATGAGAAGTAAATTACATTATCTGAATAGAGAGGCTAAGTCGTGCATTCTACATCTACATTCTACTTCAAGTGAACATAGATAAAACAGAGGTGATGAAGATTCCTAGCCAACATCAACAACAACAACAGACAACAATCAGCATAAATGGGAGGAACCTGAAAGAAACAACCTCCTTCACCTACCTGGGGAGCATCGTCTCAACTACAGGCCGACAGAACTGACGAGGATATCAAAACCAGAATCGGAAAAGCAAGACAAGCTTTCATTACTCTAAAATCTGTGTGGAGGTCAACAGCACTCAGCATCAAAAATAAGATCCGGATTTTCAATTCCAATGTGAAGTCAGTGCTACTCACTAAACGGACTTGGCTAGCGCATCATAAAGAGCATCTCAAACAAAATACAGACCTTCATCAACAGCTAGCTGTCTTCGCTCAATACTCAAAATCAGATGGCCAGAAAAGATCAGCAACAAAGATCTCTGGGAGCGAACCAATCAGGAACCGATTGTGAAACAAATAGGCAGGAAGAAATGGAGATGGATTGGCTAGTCATACGCTGAGGAAACCATCAAGTGACATCACTAGACAAGCCCTCGAGTGGAACATGAAAGGGAGGCGGCGAGTTGGTCGTCCAAGGGTGACTTGGGGGAGGTCATGTGAGGAGGAGATGAAAGCATGTGGACAGACCTGGAGCGGGGTGAAAAAGCTGTCAGAAAACCGAAGGCAATGGAGGTGCGCAGCTGAAGCCCTATGTTCCTCTAGGAACTAAAGGATACAATAATAATAATAATAATAATAAGGAAAAAGGCTTTAAATTGTAATCACGAAGTTGCTTACAGCCGTGGTCAGTTGACGTTTTAGGGGATCAGTTTACACATGGAACTGTGGTTACTACTTCGTTTCATCGAAGCGATAGCAATCAAACGACTACAATCTAATCTTTGTGTATACAGAAAGGCAGCGTGATCAACTACGAAATACCCTGGGAATTGGATTCATATGTCAGATTCTTAGACCTTACCAATATGTTAGCGTGTTTATGTACATGATAATTTACTTGTGCCTACCGAATCTATTCGTCCACCCACTCCCTCTCATCCATTTTCACTCCAACCTTGTCTTATTGCCTTTTGAAACTCCTATCATATTATGGATAAATAAACTCTGACTATTTGACTACTTCAATACTATGTGCGTCGGTGGCACAGTGGTTACAACTCTCGCCGACCATGCACGTGGTCCGGGTTCGAGCCCTCGCCGGCGCACACCTGACATCTATGGTCGGCCTGCGAATTTTGGGCTACCGATATCCACGCTGAAAATCCATACTTGTACCAAAAAAACAGTGTGGAATCAAGCTGTAATCAAAAATTAAAATTAAAAAATTATAGTTCCCTTAAGTTCCAAGTGGAACATAGGGCTTCAACAACATATTTCCACTTTTTTCTGTTTTCTGCTATCCTCTTCATCTGGATCTACGATAGCCCAAACTCTGTCATCTCTTCCTCCAACTCACACGATCTCCTCCATGTCACTCTAGGATGACTGACTCATCGCTTCCCATTTGGATTGCACTCGAGGGCCTGGCACGGGATGTCATTCGACGGCATCTTCAATGGAGTATGCTCGATCCATTTCAATTTTCTCCTACAAGTCTGTTGAACAATCGGCTCTTGGTTGGTTTGTTCCCAGAGCTTTTTGTGCTACTAATTCTTTCTAGCCATTTGATCTTCAGTATAGAGCCAGCGAAGTGTGCAGCTGTTGATGAAAGTCTGCAATAGGCTGTTGGAAATCCTTTTTGTGACACGCTGGCCAAGTATCTGACCCGTATACAAGGACCAACTTGACGCGATTTCAACATTAAATATCTTGTACTTACTGTCCCAGGTCTATACGATGTTATTGTCTTTCTGTGCTGAAATATGATGCATAACTTCACTTATTCCTGAATTTTCAACTGTAAATAGTTGCAGAAAATCTGTGTGAAACAAAATCTCCAATCGCTGATTGATCACTTGTAGGGTAATCAATCTCGTATGTTTAGTCCGTTTGGATTCCAAGGGAGAAATTTGGCTTCCAGCTTTTTGAAGTTTTAGAAGCAGTGGTATTCTGTTTGTTCACTGAATGGGTTAGCTAGCCGCACACCCAATCTTTCCTGTTCTCCGGGATGACTAGCAGTCGGGAATCAAACCCTGGCTGATGTGAGCATTGAAATGTAGTTAGTCCTGAGTGATGACTGAATTCAACCAGTCAAGTTGACAATGCTGTAACCAAGTTCAATGACTCACCATCATCATGTATTTTGAAGTGATTTCCTGTGGTTGGAGGCAGCTGACAAGAAGCCCTAAAGCCATGATTTCACCAGGATGGTGTATCTGCAACCTCGAAGGAATTAGCTCACCCCCAGTGTTAGCCAGTACTGTGATCAGAGACAATACCCCTTAACCAATCAGGCTCACAATAAGACTCATATAAAAGCATAATGTAGCTCAGTAACGCCTCTGAATGCAGCACTGGATGAGACGGGTTCTAAAACCGAAATGAAAGAGACTAATTCAATCGAGATCGCATATTTAACTTGTTGATGAATGTCTCATAAGCAGAAAACTTGAGTGCAAAGCCTATCCGTCAGTGTTCTCCTCATTCAGTATAGATGAATAAAATCAATCAAATATATAAATAAAACCCATCTTACTTGTAGCTGTAGTGATTTCTCTTGTAAACTTTTCTCTAGAATTTGATATTTTTCACGTAAACATCGAAGTTTTTCATTTGTTGAATTAATTTGTTGTTTAAAATTTTTGGTTAATACATGAATTTCATGTTTTAATTTCTAAATTATACAGAAAAAAAGGCAAGCAGATTTAATTAACGAATAGTGTCTGATGATGACGTAATCGAGTAGGTTTATAGCTGATCTGAGAAACAAGGCTCATTGTAGCCGCATAGTTCATTCCACTGTTGACGTAATGACATAAATTATTTACATATATAGTTGAAGTTTCATCATGGATTGATATTAGTTAGAGAGCCATTGAAAATCAGAGAACACTGAACAACGACTTCGTCCCAGTTTGGGACTCATCAGCAGCACACAATCACCGGATTTCAAATCCAGCACCTTCCATTTTCAAGGCAAACAGAAATCGCGTTAAAATCACGAATTGGTAGAAGTTAGACCTCTTCGGTTTGTCATGGTGGAGTCAGGTTGAGGTGGCTGAATGGTCTACAAATTTGTCCTGGGTTTGAACTCCGCTGATTGGGTGCTACCTACGAGTCACAAAATAGGACGAAATTCCTGTTCATTGTTCCCTGATCTTCAAAGGTTCTCTAACTGATATCAAGTTGTGGTCAAACTTGAAAAACAAATGAAATCCCCACAAAAAACTCTCAAAAACAAAAGAATAAAAATTCATGCCGCAATCAGCTGAAAGAACAAAATAGGATTTCCAACATCAGTCTTAAGTTATTCGATTCTTCCATTTGAGTCAGAAACTGGATGACAGTGTCACGAAAAACACTTTCATCAACAACTGCCTTCGTCAGCTTCATATTAAAGTTCAAATGATCGGCTAGAAAGTCTGCGGACGAATCAGCAGGCGAGACCCTAGCGCTCAACAAATATTCCAAAGAAATCGGAGATGGACTAACACACACAATGATGAGACCATCGAATGACATAGCGCGCAAGGCCATCGCTCATTTGGGACCCAATTGGGAAATGGAGGGTTGGGCATATATCCAACAGTGATATGATGGAGGTCATGTGGCGAGAAGAAGATGAGAGCTGATGAGCAATAGTGGAGCTAGGTGAAAAGGAGCTCAGAAAATAGGACAAAAAAGAGACGTGACGATAAAGCTTTATCTTCCGCCTGGAACCCAAGGGAAATTATAATCGGTAAAAATGATTTTACGAGATATTTGTTTGGATGATTTCAGAGTTCATGGTAGTCTGTAGGAGCAAATGTTAATCTATAGTCACAACTACGCAGAAAATCTTAGTAATGCGTCTTGTCCTTGGATTGGTATAGATTGAATTCTGTCAAATACTTTTGAGATGTGGTCACCGTGCTAGGTAACCATCACGATGAATATACTGAATAGATCTTATATGGTTGAAAATACCTGGCATACTGAATACATTGCAAACTTGACTGATAGAATTCAGTCTCACGTTCAGATTATCCTAGGATCGTCTTGAGATGACAGCGGTCAATCAGCTGAGCTTACGAACCCGATCGCTCAACTGGCTATCATTCTACTATAGTAATCATAAGTAGTGTCGAGCAGTCCAGTGAATGAACATGGTCAAACATCACATTCATTAGATTCCCAGCCAGGTATTCTTCAGTCAATTTCAAACATACTGAGAGAACTTTAATTGGTGGATGGTGACTAGCAGTGGAATCCAGGATGCGCATTTAGTCCTATTTGGGACTCCTCAGCTGGAGGCACCCACATTTATTAGTGAGTGATGATGTTCCCACTGAGGCTCGAACCCAGTACACATAGTTTCAAACGCCAAAGCATTATCCACTAAACCACTTGCGCCACGACAGCCACCTCAATAAAATTAATATGACCCGTGGCATAAGAGGTGGCTCTCGTGGCGCAAGTGGTCTAGTGGATAATGCTTTGGCGTTTGAAACTATGGGTACTGGGTTCGAGCCTCGGTGGGAACATCATCACTCACTGAGAAATGTAGGTACATCCAGATGACGAGTCCCAAATAGGACGAAATGTCCGTCCTGGATTCCACTGCTAGTCACCATTCACCAATTAAATGCTAACTAAATGCCTAGACATCGTCGAAGCATCAGCACAAGAAGCCGACATGTCAGCCTGAGACCGAGCACTTCGGTCCAATCAATCGACGGGAAAATCTCAAATTCAATAAAATATTGAGAGAACAATGGGTTACTAATTGTTGATGACGGGCTGTCTGAGTTGGCCTTGGAGTAACAGATCACTATTATTTAACAGAAACACAAACTTGGTACTAAACGGGTATCAAGAGATGCGTCAGAAAAAATGAAAAGAAAATCCACAATAAATAAAGAAAATAACGATAAAATAAGTGAGGGACGTCATACAGAAAACAAGCAAACATCCTTGTCAAGATCACTCAACATTCACTATTTCAAGTTACTTCCACAGAAAGAAGAAAGAAGGAAGTCGCTGCGAGTTAGGCATTGATTACGACTCTTGGCCACATCTATTAAAGTCTCAAACCACTGATTCGAATTATCTCTCTGAACATACACAGGGAGTCATGATTTACCAACTGATGCATACCTATACGATTCGAGGGTTTGTTCATCACGCTTCCTCCATCACTAACAAAATTATCTAGATACATGAACTTGTTGATAACTTCGAGCGATTCACCTGCAGAAGTGAGTGAAGGTACAGACTCCTGATAATCATGCAATACTATTTTTCAAGTATTAATTTTTTTCAAGTGTTGGTTTGTAGGGATTTGATTGGTTTCAGGATTTCATCATCAGCTGATATTAGTCAGAGAACCATTGGAAAATCACCTGGGAGTACTGGACAGCTGTTTCGTCCTAGTTTGAGACTCTTCAGCAGTACGCATCCACCAGGATTCGAAACCAGGATCTTCGGTTACAAGGCGAGCTCGCTTGTAGACCATTAAGCCACCGGGACCCGATCCAATGGCCAGTGCATGAATTCTAACTTCTGCCAATTCACGACATACCGCAACCCCTAGCCAATGTCTTCAGCGAGCATTTGTCCTCACACCCAACCTGCTGCACCTTACTGATGAGGACTTCTCACTAGAACCCCAGGTAACTACCTACCTGAATAGGGCAAATCGCTAGTGAGAATCTCAATGGTATTCAAGTGTTGATTTGTAGGGATTTTGTGTTGATTGGTTGGAGGATTTCATTGAACAGTCCCAAACTAGGATGGAACAGTTGGCTGCCTAATGGTTCTCGAACTGATGTTAACTTATGATGAAATTCTTCAACCAATTTTAAGATTATTATTTGTAAAACAAAAGCAACAACAAAGAAAAAAAAACTGGAGAGAGAAAAGAAGATTATTTACTGTATTCTTTTTTTTCTCTTCGTCCAATTCACTTGTTGTATTTTCTGATTTATTTAGCTTTTTACGTGATTGTAATGAACCATTATCAAGTGACTGATTTTGTTTATCATCACATGTAGATGATTTTTCCAGTAGATAAACACGATGTAACAATTCACTAATTTTTCTTTGATCTGCACTTGATTGTAGCGTCTTCTCACGTAATCTTAACTGTAATGTACGTACTTCTGAGTTCAAACGATCAATAATCTGTGGCATATCAGCTTCTTGTCCAATTGCCTAATAATTAAAAGGAAACATTATAAGAAGAAGAAGAAGGAGAAATTAAAATAAAAGATAATATGAGTAACTTTCAAGTTTTAGGTTTGTCAGATAAAAGACCATTTAATATCAGGGAGTACTGGAAAGTTGTTACGTCTTTTTTTGGGACTCTCCAAAGTCGACGATATGTATCCACATGATGTGTGTGTTTGTTTTTGACAGTCTGTTATATCTTGCTATGTGTATATGGATCGATATTCCATTACAAAATAAAAAAATAAAAAAATTATAACTGACAATATGCTTTTGTCTGTCCACTAACTAAATAAACATCTATGGCCTTGTTGTCACATGATATTACAACCAATCATGGTAAGACTGTCTATTTATTGGTTCATGTGTATTAGCCATTTTCATATATACTCTTGCTTTAGATACTTGTTCCGACGTTTTGTACACTACGTACCATTTCACTCACATTCTTGTGTGACATTTATTTTCCTTTCAAGTGTTGGTTTTGTAGGGATTTGGTTTGATTGTATGGAGGATTTAATCATGAGCTGACATCAGTTAGAGAACCACTGGAAAACCTGGAAGTACTGGACAGCTGTTTCGTCCTAGTTTGGGACTCCTCAGCAGTACGCACCCACCGGGGTTCGAACCCAGGACCTTCTGGTTACAAGTTATTTTCCTTGTCTGGAAAATACAAGTATCATCGTAAACCTCGTGGTCTTCTGATTTCCCGTCTTTTCGCGTCAGGACTATTAACTTGACGAGTACATAACAGTCGACCGAAATGGATTTAAGGAGAGATAATCACCTGTTACACTAGCTGGCGGTCATGTTCTATAATTCTACAAATTCGCCTTGTAAGATGATGGTGCTAGGTCATACCCCGAATGGATTCATGGATGCGTATCGCAGAAGAGTCTGAAACCAGGACGAAACCTTATGTTCATCACTCCTTGATCTTCAATGTGATTTCATGATTACATAATACGTTAATCCTATTACAGACTTTTCAGCCTACGATGGGATTTGATATTTAGTCACGAACGTTTCATCATCAGTCTTGATAACGTTTTCAGGGATAACTATATTAAAAAGTAAGATGCAATTGCAGACCACATAAATATTTAGCTATCTAACTGTCATCTTCTTGTTCAGTTGCAAATGAAATAAGTAGAGATGGTTTGTTTAAGAATCTTTCAACTTTTCACTTCATTGTACTATATTAGGGTGATTCTTCTACCTTGAATGGTAATCTGTGTTGATGTGCATTTCTAAATAAATTTCAACTCTCGTTGTTATACACATTTAGAAGGAAAAGTATCTCGAATGATTGGATCGTCCTTCCCTACATGTGACCAGCTGGTTGACTGCCTTCCCGAAGGCTTTCACCAACTCGCGTCATTTCATCTATCGGCTCCAAGAGAAGAATGAGTTTCTCTTATTGTATTATTCATGTGCTTTGGAGTTTTTGTAGTTAGTGGGTTGATTTTACGGGGTAGGGTTATGCCAGCCCCACAATTAACCTATTTACTTTTCCCGGGCTTAGGATCGACTAGAAAGCTAACAAGCTAATAAACTGGGTGAGGCTATTATTATTATTATATACTGGCTTTGTGACATCAATTTGTTTCTTAAAGTATAACCTACTTTAATGTGTACCAATGGTAAGTTAAGTAGAACAGTGATCACGTTGAATGACTTAGGAAATGACCTTTAACAAACAATCAGATATTTCCCCTACTATTATTATTATATTATTATTGTTCCCTTGGGTTCCTAGTGGAACATAGGGCTTGAACTGCACGTCTCCAATTGCTTCTGTCTTCTGCTGTGCTTTTCACCTGCATGCATGTTAGTTAGTCCATACTGTTTCAACTCCTCTTCACACGATCTCATCCATGTCGCCTTTGAACTGACGTCCCACTCGCCGCTTCCCTTTCGGGTTCCACTCGAGGGCTTGACGCGCGATGCAACCCAGCGGTCTCCTCAGAGAGTGTCCAATCCATCTCCACTTTCTCCTGCATATTTGCTGGGCCATTGGTTCTTGTTTTGTTTCTTCCCATAGTTTCTTGTTGGCGATTCTGTCCGGCCATCTGATCTTCAGCATAGAGCGAAGACAGTTGTTGATAAAGGTCTGAGTTAGCCTGTTGGAAATATTCTTTGTGATCCGTCCGCCAAGTTTCTGAGCCGTTCCGTATAGAAGAACTGACTGACTTGACGTTTGTATTGAATTGAATCCGAAATTTGTTGTTGATGCTGGTTGAGTGACGAAGATTTCCAGATTGGTTTCAGGTTGATGAATGTGTTTCTCGCCTTCTCGATTCTCGATTTGACATCCTTGTCCGTTCCTCCTGTAGTTGAAACATTAGTAATTTTCACAAGACATATTCAGATTTCCATCTCATCTGGTTCATCATGAGGATACTGAGTAACAATTATCCCCTAGAAGCGTTCAAATGAGTTCATATTTAGAAAAAGTCTTACACTAACCAATTACTACTCCTATGAAGAATTGTAAAACTTTTCTTAAAAACGTTAAGACTGCCCTACTGTTTAAATTTCTTTTTAGTAATTTACTCATCTTAAGCGTTTAATTTCTCAGTTCCAAAATCTCTACAAGCTTTCAATTCACCTCCACATGATCCCTCTTATGTCACTCTCGAACGCTGAACTCATAATACTTCATTTAGGTTTTCCAACAGAGTATGACTCGTTTTGTTCAATTCATCTCGATTTTGCTTCTGTAAGCTTGTTGGTCGATAAGTACTCGAGTAGTTTTCTACTTACCAAGGTTTCTTGTTGTTTATAATTTCTGACCAGTCACCTGATTTTTAGTATCGAGAGAAGAAACTGCCAAACTACCTCACGATCAACTTCTGCTCGACAAGGATGTTTGGTATTGCGAATTCCTCCACTCATGGCTTATCTTTCCTGAGTCTAATCTGTTCAACGCAAAGTTACTTTAGTCTTTCCAAGATGATATAGCTAATATTTTTCTTGAGGTGAACAACAGCATGTTTCTGCGTCAGTCCTTTTGATGGCTTCGAACTGATCAACACTAGCGGTTTCTCTGTTCCACCTCTTTAGTATTTGGGTTTCCTTAACTACCTCTTACGACAGTCATTTGCACTGGTCTCTTCACGGACAGCGACCAAGGTTTTATGATATGGATTTATGATGTCTCTCTTACCTGCAGTCTGTTCTGATTTAATTCACCATTTTGTCACAAAAGCGTCCTTTATCTTCCGTAGAACTATTAATAAAATTGAGGTGTCTTCCCAATCTTAGTGGAGAATAAGTTCACTTTTCTGTGATTTGCAATGTCAGTATCATTTAAGTTGTTATTAACAGGATGAACTAGATGTAATAGAAAAGATCCACAGCTTAGGCGGAAGGTTTTGACATAGGCGTTTTCTCTGAGCTGTTTTTGATTATACGTGCCTGCGTTCTATCTTCCGTGTGAAACGGTATAATAGGGTGAGCAATATTGAGGTTAGGCGTCGAGTGCTAGGTAAAAAGGGGAAATCAATCGACAAGACTGTGAAGTTACACCGATTAAGATGTTTAGGACATGTATTACGCATGCCTAACCATCGATCGTCTTTCTCCAGTGATGGGTAATGTTAGTTGACATAGGGTCAGGTGGGAAAGAGCCAGTGGTGGTCAAACCAAAACATGGTTTCATCAGTCAATGAAATCCACAATAGTTAGTTTAAGCCAGCCACGTAGGAAGGTGTAGACTTCCTGGTTGGGGTCCTCGGGACGGCAAACACCAATACCTGGAGACAATTAGTAATACGGCTTGAGGCGTGGATGCATCCGCTCCTTGAGGCTTATGATTTCCAATAAAACTGTATTGTTCTTCGTTATTACTATTCCTTTGTCTCACAACTCTGTTTACCGTGTCTCTACTTTGCATTACTTTTAACTTTCTTCTCTTGCTTTGTGTGCTGGGAGAAGTTTGGCGACTCGAGCTGTTGCACACCAGTGCAAATTTCTATGCAGAAACCAGACAGAAGAACAGACTGAACTGGATATTTAACTTGCAAAGCTTTCGTCGCCTTAGTAGGCAACATCTTCAGTGCACACCTCAATTTGAAGTGAACTTTTAAATTTCACCATAATTTTATTAGTTATCTCTCCTGGCGAGTAACCTTGAACGTGACTGGTTGCATTTTATCTGTTTTCATACGATCTACTCTACTTGTATTGGTAATAATGGTCTCCTGGATCTGAAGTTTTACTTTTTGTTTGGTGCATGAGGTATTCTTCTTATGGACTGGTAAATTGATAAACATCATTTACAAAATAAATTGAAATGATTATGAAAAACACTACATTGGCTAAAGTGGAGAACGTCCTCTTTGGCCTTTGCATCCATGAAAACAAACTAGCCATCAAAAGACATGATATCCACTCTATCAATCATATCGCTGCATACGGGCAACCATGGACATCAGTTCGACTTAGACGATGTTCAAATATTAGACCAAGGAAATACCACATTGACATAGATAAAAATTTACCAATTCATTAGAGGACGATCTTATGCATAAAAAGTAAAACTTCAGGTCAAAGTAACAATCAATACGAATAAAGGTAGACTAAAGGGTGTGAAGACAGAAAGACAAAGGCGGCCAATCCCTTTCAAGGTTACCCACCGGGAGACATGACTAATGAAATCGTGGTTCACTTCAAATTGAAGTATGCGCTGAAGAAGTTGCCTAGTAAGGCGATAAAAGCGTTGCCAGTAAACACTATTCAGCTCAGAGAGCACAACACTACATCAAAAAGCAGCATGGACTTACTAGTCCTATAATCCTACAACACTTCCCTATATTGCCGCGATTAGGGTCGACTAGAAGATTGGGCATGACTTTCCCTAATGTCATTTGATAAAATTCTTATTTCGTCGGTGGCCGATAACTGCTACCTTGTCGTGGTGGTCGGACTGGAATACGGTAATGACCCAACATGCTAAACTGACTGGGACTCTGTCCCTGCAGGTCTTACTATGTCAGGAAGGTTTTCTGGATGGCAGTTAAACTAAAAGTAGTTACCATGGGGTACAAGAGCTCCAGTATCTAATCGGATCAAATGGTTTATGAACCCATATGGGTCCCAGGGAACCATGGGAATGCAGCTCCTGACGCTGCTCCGCTGCCTTGCGGATTAGACTCCAAGTCAAAGGCTCGGGGGTGGTCCCTTACAAATAAAACCACCTGCTTCGGTTTGGGCGCCCGGGCAGTATCTCAGCCCACACACAATGAATTGAATGAAGCAACAAACAATCAATGAAATTATCGCATGCTATTACACGTGTTGCAATTTCCTTTTTCTTCCCTTCCCGATGACAGTTAACGAATACTGTTTGAATGAACTTGTTAAGCATGACTGTTTTCCTTCCAGATGAAATTCTTTATCCGTTCTCTACTTATATATACACTTTTTTCTCTTCTTTCTTTTTTTCTTTTGATCTATGTTGTTTTATTATTATTGTGTGGCGCATCCTTCTTGGTGCCATATTGTACCAAGTTTTTATGCGTTTACATAATAATAATAAATAATAATAGGACTCTAACGGACTATGCACATGATCCAAGGTTCGATCCCCTGCCGACGAACACCTGATATCTATGGTCAGCCTGCAAAATTTGGGCTACCGATATCCATGCTGAAAATTCCATACTTGTACCAAAAATTACAGGGTGGAATCAAGCTGTAATCAAAAATAAAAATAATAAAAAATAAAATAAAATTACTACACCAACTCACTTTATCTAATCGTACAGCTTGCATTTTATACTGTCTTTGAACTGTTTTCAATTCCAACTTGCATTCTTTTAATTCTTTATTCAACTGGACAATTGTACTATTTGCTTCAGCCAGCGCTAATTGATTCGATTCCCACATTTCCAGTAGACCAGATGACGCAGTGATATGACTACTGCTACAACTAACATTTGGATATACCTTCTTAGTTAATATTTGATTTGATTTTGTTTGTACAGTTTGATGATGTTGTTTAGATTTTGATCGGTGTGAAGCATTTCTACGGATTGGGAAAGGATTATCTATTCAAGGAGAGGGGTGGGAGAGGAGAGATAAAAACAACGATCTATACATATCGAAAAAGACAAATTAACAGATTGGGTAGCAAAGAAATAGATTCCTTCCTTTTCAGTGAGTACCTCATCAACGGCTTTGCATTAACATACACTGTAATCCCACAGCAAAGTTATACCAATCACTTGGTTGTTCTTCAGTCAATAAGGATTATCCGTTCTGAAGTATAGGAGAGGTAAAAACTCTATATTAAATAAGTTTATTTCAACTGTCACACAGTGATGATGCTGTTGGAATAACTGGATGACAAGGTTTTGAGAATAATTGATATAAGTATAAAACTTGGGCACTAGCTTCTTGACACATATAAACTCACAAGTAGAGGGAATAGAATTCACATTTGAATCAGAAAATGAACAAGGAGAATTAGCTATCATGTTAGATTGTTTATAGAAAACCAAGGGATTCTAATAGATATTTCGACTTTAATCCGTCTCATCCGTTAACTGTTAAGGCAGGCTTAGTGAAATGTCTAACAAACCGATCCAGAGCACTAAGTAGCACAAGAAAAGACTTAAATGACGAAATAAAACAGATAGAAGAAGCGTTGGTGTTGAATAGTTGTCTTATAAAATTCACTAGGAAGATCAGTAAAGGCCAAAAACAAAATAAAAATAATTGTGGAACTAGTCATGATAACATAAATAAGAGAGAGTATAAGTCATTTACTGCTATCCCGTATAAGAAGGGGACATCCGAGGCCCTACATAGGATTCTTAATAAATCAGGAATTAGGGTGGTATTTAAACCTACAAACTCACTCAGAGACAAGCTCTGTAGGCTAAAAGACCCGGTAGACCCAATTAAACAAAATAATATAATTCTGAGAATAAATTATTGCCAGGCAATCAATCAATCAATCAATCTAGTCACATGGATTCACAGTTTGTCTTATATACAAATATATATTTCTCTCTCTCCCCATCTTCCCCTTGTTGTTTGTCGGTATTGGCGATGTATAATACCGATTGCAGGTATACGGTGTTGGATCGATAAACAAAGATTCAGTGATTACCTTCTCTGTCTCTCCAACTAACTGTATTACTTTTTAATACTCTCAATCTGTCCCACCCACCCTGTTTGTACGGCTAATTGCAATTGAATGCAGTGTAATGGCTGCGCTTTTTACTAAGTTATTTTGTGGGGATAGCAGGCTGCTAGCCAATTGGTAGACATTAATTTACGTCAATGTCTATGTCGCTAATATTGGCCGTGAGAAAATATAAACAAGACTTATTCAACAACCAATCACAGCAGACTTAACGTGGGCGAATACGATTCGCAGATATATGGCTTAACTTTCTGAGTAACCAGTCACAAGAAGTACAGAATAACTTTGAGCAAGAAACAATCAATTAGAGGACTGTGTTTGTCTGCTTGAATAAGCTATAATGATGTACATGAAATATATATATAAATACATGCTGATTTCTGTAATAAAACGATCTGTTGCCTGGCCCTTATCTTCTGTTGTTACAATTTAACTTAGCAGGGTCAACTATTCTAGGTCTAGCTGAACTTTTTTAATGTTCCACTAATTTAACTGACTCCGATCTATTAGTCTGATCTATGTGAATGACTTCACAAGCGGTCATTGCATAGTGTTTGGTAAATTATATTATTTTTCTTCATTCGATTATCTATGGGAGTTGGTTAAATGGTTTACATGCCAACCTCATACTAGTCTGTCTGTCTGTCTGTTTTCGGCATAGAACTTTGCACAAATGTGTGGAAGTTCAAGTCGCCACACTCCCTCCATGTAGCACACAAAGCAACAGAAGAAAGCACAAAAAAAGCATTATAGAGGGAGTAAGCAGAGGTGTGAGACAAAGGAAGAGTAATAACGAAGAACAAAACAGTTTCATTGGAAATCATAAATCACAAGGAGTGGATGCATCTGCGCCACTGAGAACGATTTTGAGCCATGTCACCAATTGTTTCCAACCATTGGTTTTTACTGTCCCGAGGACCCCAACTAGTCAGGAAATCTACACCTTCCTACGTGGCTCGTCGAGGAAGGCGATGACCAGGCATACGTAACACATGTCCTAACCATCTCAGTCTTTGTAACTTCACGACTTCGTCCATCGATTTCCCCTGTTTACATAGAACTCGACGCCTAACCTCAATATTGCTCACCTCATACTAGCCTGATTGAGAGTCCTACATAAGGCCTCTGACGTTCCCTCTTTCGATGGCAGTACTACAGAGGCTTTAAAATTCTTTGATTTTTCAGGATTTATCACAAGCTGACATCATTTAGAGAAGCATTGGAAAACCTAGGAGTACTAGACAACTGTCCAGTCTTTGTTTGGGAGTCTTCAATAGTACGCAAAAGTGGGGCTCGAACCCAGGACATTCCGGATGCAAGGCAAAAGTAATCGCGGAATCGAAGATCAACTAATTTACAGAGGTCGGCAACAAGTTATTATATGATCGATTATATCTAACATAGTAATGACCAAGAAGAATTATGTTAGAAGACAAAGACACAGATACGTTGGTCAAATTAGCTAAAACGGTTATTATTATTCCCTTGGGTTCCAAGTGGGATGCAGAGCTTCAACAGCACGTCTCCACTTTGCCCTATTCCCTGAGGTCTTCTTTAGCTAGCACCCCAATTAGCCGTAGTCTCTCATCTTCTCTTCGCTACACGACCTCCACTATGTCACACTGGGATGCCTAACTCGTCGTTTCCCACTGACCTTCCTCACGAGCGATAGCCTTGCGCGCGGTATCATTCGATGATTTCCTTAGCGTGTGCCTAATGAATCACCATTTTGTTCCACAAATTTGTTTAGCAATTGATTTCTGGTTGGTTTGTTCCCAGCGTCTATTGTTCCTAATTCCTTGTCACCAGCCATTTGATCTTCAGTATGGAGCCGGCGTCGGTGCGTCGGTGACACAGCAGTTAAGACGTTCGCCGACCATGCACATGGTCTGGGGTTCGATCCCCGGCCACCGACGCACTCCTTTACCTCGCTAAGCCAGTAATAAGACTGGTAAAGAGGAAAGGTTGGGCATGAGGCTAGCAACCCCATCCTGTAAAAAATAAACACTGCTACAGAAACTTCAAGCCACTAGCTTGAGGCCCTATGTTCCACTGGGAACGTGAAGGAAATAAAAAAAATGGAGACAGCTCAGATGACAGCTGTGGATAAAAGTCTTCGGTAAACTGTTGGAAATGCATTCTGCGACGCGTTCGCCAAATTTCTCACTGACTTAGAACTCACTGACTGACTTATCATTTGTGTTGAACATCTGAGTTTCGCTCTTTGCACTGAGTGCAAAAGATTTACAAACTGATTTCAGAGTGATGAAGATGCCTGTCTTGCCTTTTCAATTCTGACTAGAAATTTGACATTCTCATCAGTTCCAACTGCTTGTAGTCAAGACGCTGCTGGCCGCCTAGACAAGTGAAGGAAGTGACCTCTTCAGAATGTCTACCATTTTACAATGACTAGTACTTGCTGTTCTGGCAGTGGTTGGTTGGGTATCTTCATCACCTCCGTCTTCTCTGTGTTCACCTGGAGTCCAGTCTTCACTGCCAACCACTTCTGCAAGTTTTTTGGTTGTCTCCTGTAATTCTTCGAGTTTGTGTAATGTTAGGCACACATCGTCTGCGAAATTCAGATCTTCTAGAGTCTTCTCCTCGGTCCAACGCAATCCTGTTTTCTCATTTCTCACTTCCGGTCTTCAGAATAATCCAGTTCACAACAGTTGGTAATATATCATCGGTGATAATCGTCAGTTTTGTTCAACTCTGCACTTTGTTTCAAAGGCTTCATCAAATTCTCCATTGTGAGAATGAAAATGAAATACCCTTCTGAAATTACTGCTATAATATTGAAACATTTTAGAGCAAGTGTCTCTAACAAACTAATACGGTCTCCTAACTATATACTAAGTACAACAACAACAGCAAAAAAAGACTTTAAAAAAGTTATTTATACAAATAGACTGCATGAACTGAAGACATCCTTTTCATCTTCCTTTTAGTGAACACAGACTAACAGTTAGGAGACGTGACATAGATTTTTCGAAAATCAACGGTTTCGTACCTGTTTGAGACTCTTCATTAGTAAGGATACACCCGGGCTGGAACTCAAGACCTTCCAATTACAAGGTGAGCTCATAGACTATGCAGCCACTAGGACCCAACCCGATGGCACATGAATTCCAACTTCTGCACATCCGCGATATATATATATATATGTCCTAACTGCTAGCCAGTGTCACCAGCGAGTAACTTTCCGCTTGCCTGACTTGAAAGATCCCGCTGATTACGACATTCCACCATAACTCCAGGTAAATTAGATTTCTTCATGTCAAATTCACAACAACAACTACGAACATTAGTTCAACTGAAACTTGAGACTTCATGTATTCATGTCATGTTCTGCCTTTACTACCACTAAGCCTATTCCAACCTAATCTTATGTCAATTAATGTTGCTTGACAAAAAATACAGTGGCTAGACCTACGTAATGCGTGTCTCAGCCATTTCTATAAGACCTGAAGATCTTATGACTCTATTAATACAATGAAAAGTGTTTTTCAAATTTAATATCCCTTAGTTTACACACATATTCTATAGAAATATAATGATGACTTAAATAAGTAGAACATGACTTGAGATTACTAGTGCTGAGCATTTGTCAAACATCCGCAAGTTATGACTGTAAGAAGTGTAAAACTCGAAGAAACTGACCGTCTTTGACCACAGATATTTGTGTTCTATCTTCAGTGTTAAGTGACATAATATGGCAAGCAATACTGAGGTTAAGTGAATATGTGGGATGAGGTTGTGAAGCTGCGTCGATGAATATGACTAGGACACACCATTACCCATCTTTGTAGAGGGACGTCAGCTTACAAAGGATTAATTTTAAAAAGAATCAAAAGCGATCAAATCAAAATATGAAATTAAATCCATAAAGTCTTTGGAAGGTGGCTTATATCACATAGGCAGGTGTAGACTGACTGCCCTGCTGGAATTCCCAAGATGCTAAGATCCATTGGCTGAAGAATCCTAATGATACGGTCCAAAAACGGTTCTGAATGTTGCAGCTGCATTCAGTCTTTATTATCCTGCAAATCTTAATTATTCTCCATTCCTGTTTTAGTTTTACTCTGCTTATGTTCGTTTGAAAAATGGCAAACTTAATTTATGCGGCTAGTGAATTGGATAGTTATTATAAAGACCTGATTGGTTAGCGTCCACGCCACTGTGAACACAAAGAAAAATAGAGTTTCTGGAACACAGAGAAGAAGAATAAACCATGGATGAGTGTAAACATACCACATATTGATATATTTTCCAATAACAGTTTGCCTTGTGATAAAAAATGAGTATCTTGAAGACTACACACTCTTTTCATTCGTTAACATCAACGGAAATAAGCGAAATTTGGATTAAAAAGGCATCTCCAAGAACAGAGACATTATTAGGCACACTATAAATGCAATAGAAAAATTCCAGCTATTTCTGAAGACTGGAGAATTTTTATCAAATATTGACTAGTGGTCATATAGTTTTTTACCACGAAAGTTAGTAAGATCTGAAGTAAACTGAATTCTTAAAGTCTTCACCATCGTATTTCCAAATATCATCCGGCAGGTTTAAGGTTAAGGGACAAACAAGATCTATTCGTAGCTCTATTTTAGCCCACCTTGTAGATAGTGAGCATAAGGTTGGCGTTAATACTGCATTTAAAATTATCTATCGCATTCCTACTAACCTTAATTTTGCTTTACGAGTTCGTCTTCTACATACAGCTGAAGCAATAGGAATCCACCTGAAGAAGCCAAACTTGTGTGTTCAGAAGAAATTTGTACAACCACTTTCCTTACCTTGGCCATCGTTACATGATTGTATAAACCGGACTACTTCATCCCTCTCCCCCTAATTTTTTTTCCTTTTAAAAACTATAAAAACTATAATTGTCCAAATTATTTTATTTTTCTGACCACTTCATCTTTAATTAGTGTTATCCTTGTAAAAACTATTTTACTCTTATGACCACTTCAACTTTAGTTACAAATTATCATTGTCCAAATTGTTTTATTTTCTCTAACAATCTGTTACGTAATCAACCTGTGCACACGCTTATTCCTTCATTACTCTTCATTTTCCAAAATTATGCATTATGCAATCCACTTGTTGTAACCATTTCCACCTTTTAATTACATATATATTAATTTTCTTCGTTAATTATCACCCCATTGACATTTTGACACTGACTAATTATTGTTAACAAACATATCGCCACTTGGTTGGTAAACTGTTGTGTATTGTAATAAAAATTATATATATATATATATATTAGAGTAGAGCCAGAGATGAGTATCTAATTGAAAAGTAAATATTTCTTCGCTCAATCTTTCTCTTTTCTAAATGTTTAAATGCGGGTATTTTCTATATTGAATTCCTAAAGTGAAAATTTCCCAAAACTTACATCACTTCAAGTGACCATACTTCAGAAGACAGTACATAAAAGTAGAGAAAAGAAACCGAATACATCTATAATAATCGAAAATGTACAGAATAAATGATTATTTAACGAATCTAGGAGATCTTTACCACTGAGAAGGACTTTCAGCGGTGTCACCTACAGTCTCCAGTCATTGATTCGCAGTTTCTTGAGAACGCCAGACAGCCAGTTTGCATCTTTCTACGTTGCTAAAATCAATAGTCAGAAACTTACTGCACTGTCATCATGTTTGATTTTGGCTGCATTGAGTCATTTTTTAACTTATTCCTACATTAGCTAGCATCGCTTGTCGTTTAAGGTGGTGGCTTATCGTCTGTAGCATATGTCGTGACTGAGGAATTATTAAGAATTCCAAAGGTGGAATAATAGGTTTTAGGCAGCAAAACGAAAAACTGCAGTGTTTTATCCGTTGAAATTCAATCAGAAAAAAGGTTAAACTTTGACCTGAAAGTACTTCACCACTCATTGTGCAATAATAATGACACTTCTTCCTCTAATCTCTATCTATTTGTGATCATCAATATTTGAAGTTACGTCAAGTTTTGACAAAATTAAACTGATGCACTCACGTATTGTACTACTATTTTTTATAAACCTCCTTCTAGACTCATTGAGACAACAAAATATAGCAAAACAATGAACTGCTAAGATTTTGACGGAAAGGTCAGATGTCAATAAGGACTTGACTATAGTAGGGACTAATATTTGGGGAATTCTCCGTAAGTGCAAGTTAACTCTATGAACTCACTGAAACAATTATATACATATATATAAGTTACCCCATCCTTCCAGTCTCTCACAGAGCCTCCAGGAATGCATAAGCGATATTATCATTTATATGCAAAGGTTGCTGTTGTTATGTTTAAGCCTATTAATTATGATAAATTAAGACTGTTGGCGAGGTGCCAACTATGCCAAAGCATGAACAAATCACTAGGTTACTTCCTGTCTTAAATATGCTTGCCGATTCCAGTACTACTTCTGTGGTGGTGTGACACAGCCACTGTTCCGACGGAATATGATTCTTACATATTCCCACAGTTCAATACGGCATAAGCAACAGAATACTATATATATATATATAGTCCTAACCACCAAAATTATTCAGTGACAGTGTTGCTGCTAACTGAATTAACTTACCGTGTCAATGAATAAGAGGGCAACGACAAGAATAAAAGTGACACAGATAAGTGAATCTCTAATTTTCAAGCAAACACGATATGTCCATTACTTTATATGATTATGAGAAATAGTTTGTGCTCGAAACGTCATCAGTTAATATAACTGTACAACACTGCGTGATTTATCGAAATAAAATCTTATCCATAATGGACTTATACTCTATCACAGTGCCCAAGGTTTATACTTATATCAGAAACACGATATGTAATGCAATAGCATATTGAATTTGGGCTGTTTTCGCAGCTATGGGACAGTAGTTTTATTAAGGTCATGACAGTGATAGCAAACTATTTTATTGAGACAATCCATCACTCATTACAATTACAGATAGACTGTTCTGTAATAATATGCATTGACCCATTCAAATATAATAGTATGATGATGATAATTATTATATGGCAGATGTCATTACCTGAAAAATATTTTATTCCTACAGATGACACTATTATGAAGACAAATATCCAAGTTGTTAAGCAACATTATGAGGCAAAGGCTTCTCAAAACATTAGTTCAAAGTTTAAAACTCATTGAAATGGTAAGTAAAAACACAAAGGGACTTCGAATACATTTGCATCAAAGACTTGAATCACAAAAAGAAATAGTTTTCATACTGAATACCAAGTGTACCTACGAAGTTTCTTGATTTGTTTGTTCCTCCGCTGTGTACGCAAATTTCCATTTCCATCCGGTAATTTTCGGTCTTCTGAATCATTTCGTTCTTGCATATCAGTCAATTCAGAGTCTGTTTCATACTGTTCACTATATTCTGGAGTAGCTGTAAAGTCTGAATGATTGAAAGCCTAAAATAAACTTTGATCTTAATAAGTCATCAAAAACCTTTGCAGAACCACGTTTAGAATCAACACCTTTGTTCATGTTGTGTTCAAAGATATTCATGGCGACAGAGTCGTCTGCTGACGGTATTTGATTTCAACGAACTTTCAAGATATCATCATTAGGTTTCCACGGTTTCGAAAGTCGCGCGTCTACTATAAATAGTTTTGACCTTGAGTGTGAGCTGATACAACACGATCACTCTAATATGGAACATCAAATGTTCCCGAATTCTTCTTACTCATAATGAATATTTTCGCCACACGATAGAGCACTTTGACACTCATCAATCATCTCAGCAAATAAACTTGACAGATTTCACATTAATACCTCTTGTTCTTGAAGCTATGTCCTTTCATTTCATTTGTATTATATCGTTCTACGGGAGAGTTAAAACTGACACTGCTAGTCCAAATATCCTACGTCTCTATGGTCAATTCTTCATCATGTTCAGTTTTTTATTTCGATAATATCTTAGCTGAACATAAGCGATTGTTCTGCAACCGAACTGAGTCTCAAGAAGTATCTCCTTCAAATGACAACCCGCTAGGAGTGAATAAGTCGTTGTTGGCTACGATGTTACATAAGTTGCCGATGACGGAGAGAGAAGAATAAAGCTTTTCACTTTTTATGGAATTAGCCCCGTTGAATATTTCACTGGAGTAAGTTACACAGAAGGGAATTGTCTTCAACGCACTGATCTAGAGAAGATATAGAGGTGTAGTTTGAGTATCTTACCGAGGATCAGAGTGGAATTCGTTTGCATTGAATTTAATCTTCGGTGCTCCCAGTTTGTTGTAACACTCACTTTCTCAATAGATGCCTTGATTTTATTGTCTCAATAAGGAATGTTGTTTCGAGGAATCCCGACATCAGCGTAAGTGAATTGAATTTGTTACTTAAATGTTTTTTTCACGACTCTTCCATCCTGGCTAATTTGGAATGGTTCGATCTCCGATGTTATGTACGTATGTTGCTTGCTGTGATGCCATCGAACTTGGAGTACTTCATTTCATGTACCGGTTGAGTACTCAATAAATGGCATTGCGAAGCTGTCGTTGATGTTATGTACGATTAGCTTTGGAGTGTTTCATCCTGGTTGGATTTTACTTGTCTGAAAGATGTCCAAACTTGGCTGGTACTGATTCAGAAACACACAGCTGTTCTATCTCAAGCATCTATATAATACAGATAAGTGTATGGCAATTAGCAGGTGTAAGTCAGGTCTCGTAAACCATCAATGTCCAGCTCCTGCTATCCTGGGCCTCACGGTGTCCCTCGAAGACTTTTAGAAACGCTTAGTATTAACCGACGAGAAAATCAATACACTGTTTGGCGACTCAAGGATCCCCTATTCTAACGCCAACATATAACCAACAATACTGTTATTACGGAGGTCTAAGAACAAATGCTATAACAATAAATCACGATATTAATTCTGGTAGTTTTTTAATCTTCCTTCTCAACAGCGACCGATCAGACGATGACCGAGGGATTAAGGACTCCACGTAAAATATGGAGAAGTTAGGTCTGAGCAAACAACCACGAATTGATCGTTAAATCTTCAACTATATTGACATTAGGTAATAAAGAGCATCTCAAACAAATTTCACAACTTCATCAATAGTTGTCTTCGCTCAACACTCAAGATGAGATGGCCGGCCAGAAAAGATCAGCAACAGGGATATCTGGCAATGAGCGAACTAACACAGCAGGAACCGATTGCGAAACAAATAGGCAGGAAGAAAATGAGATGGATTGGCTGGTCATACTCTGGAGAAACCATCAAGTGACATCACTAGACAAGCCAGCGCTCGAGTGGAACCTGAAAGGAAGCGGAGAGTTGGTCGCCAGTGCAAACGTTACTTGGAGGAGGTCATGTGAAGAGAAGATGAAAGCATGTGAGCTGACAATGAGAGGGGTGAAAACGATGGTAAAAAAACCGCAGACAATCAGAATGCGCAGCTGAAGGTCTAGGCTCCTCTAGGAATTAAAGGAAAACTAATAATAATTAAAAAGGAAAAGAGTGAGAGAAAAAATATGTACTTTTCAATGAGATCCTCATCTCTGGCTCTACTCTAACATATATATATATCATTCTTATTACAATACACAACAGTTTATAATAATAATAATAATATATATTCTCATTTTTTACATGAGTGACGCCAGTTTACAGGCATCATCAATTCGATAATTTACACAATATTAATAAGCATATTTAGTAAAGATAATATAATAATGTACATTTTTTCCCTAACTATGTAGGGTACACCAATTGTATAGGCATGCATAAATATTGTTTTAATAATAATAATATATTCCTTCCTGTTTATGCAGGAACATACCTATTGTACAGGCATGGATAGCGGGGGGCGGCCTGTTTGACATCTGGGCTACCTTTTTCGTGCATCTACATATTGCATCTAATAAGTCATGTTTTCATTCCTAATTTAATAAAATATGATCACAAATCGTATAAAATACAGTAATTCATTCATTAAACGTTTTAAACCATATGACTTTCATGCAACTAATAATGCATCTAATAAATCTAAGAGAAAACATCATGCTGGCTGGCAGCGTGCACTTAAACAGACACCTTTATATCGTACTACCATTCCTGTTATTGTCACTTCAAACTGCCGTTCACTTCCCAACAAAATTATGCATCTCCAGTCTCTCTTATCATCTGATACTTATCACAATACGGCGATTGTTGCATTACAAGAAACATGGCTCCATGAACTCTATGATGACAATCTGGTTTCCCTAAATGGTTTTACATTGTTTAGACAAGATCGACTATGCTCCAGAAAGAAAAGAGGTGGAGGTGTTGCAACTTTCATTCATTCTCAATGGTCAACTTCAAATAGTGTATGTTTTTCTTACTCTAATGACTTTATTGATTGTATAACGGTCAAATGCCGCCCGAAACATTTATCCAAATTCAAATACGTCTTCATCTCTAACATTTATGTTACTCCTGGCTGTTCTGCATCTGATCTATCTGATTTTGCTGATGAATTCACTGAATTTGCCGTTACACATCTTGAAAACTCTTTATCAGTTGTCACAGGAGATTTTAACTGCTGTGATTGTTCTTTCCTTGTATCATTAGGTCATGCCAATATTGTTAAATTCCCTACTCGACTTGATAAAACTCTTGACCTAGTGTTCATTAATGATGAGGAAATATATGAAGTACGCAGACGTGCTCCTATCACGAACTCAGATCATTGTATTATTCGGATATTACCTAAGATATACAGCAGATCTCACTTTAATATCTTCTCAAATCTGTCCAAGAAAACACAGCAAAGGTGTTACTCACAAGAAAATATGCTCAAACTAAGATGTATGCTAAATGACACTAACTGGGAACTTTTCAACGAACACAAACTGGATGATACTATTTCCAATTTGACTGACTATCTTAAATTCTGTCTTGATATATGCTGTCCAAAACAGATAATTTTCAAAAGAATGGATCGTTTTTCTTCCCCTCATCTCAAAAAACTTCGTAGAGAAAAAGAGAAGCTGTACAAGACAAAGAATAAATCTGGTCTTAAGAAGATAAACACCCAAATTAAATCTGAAATCAAGAGACTAAACAACATTTATAATCAAACAATACTATCTTGTAAAACCTCAGAAAACATATGGAAGCTTTTTAGAGAAATTACTGGTTGTGGTAAGCATAATAATTTTGCCTCTTCTATTGATGTAAATACTCTCAATAGATCTTTCATCCGCCCTCCAAATGTCCTTTCTGCCTTCAATTTAACTAATAACACGACCAGTGACTTTCATCGTTTCAATACTTCTGATGTTCTTAAATGTTTGAAATCTCTTAAACCTTCCCAGAGTCTAGGCCCTGATGGTATACCTGCCATTGTTTTAAAGAAATGTGCTGATATTTTAAGTAACCCACTTACAAGCATTCTCAATACTTCTTTTTCTAATAATAATGTACCTTCTCTGTGGAAAGATATTAAAATCATCCCTGTACCCAAGTCTGGTTCTGGAGATAGTGTTAAGTTTAGACCAATTGCCATTACCTCTCCTTTCTTGAAACTGATGGAGAAATTACTTTCACAAAAACTCATTCCCTCCCTAAGCTTCTCAAATGATCCAAAGCAGTTTGCTTACAAACAGGGTAGAAGTACTTTGGATGCTGCTGCCGTGTTCCATCACAACATTGTATCCTCCTTAGACAAAGGGGCCAAGTATGTCCGTTGTACTTTCCTTGATTACACATCTGCTTTTGACTCTGTACCTAGAGGCCTTTTGTTAAACAAGCTTAGCCTTACACAAACTGAGTCCTGGGCTATCAACTGGCTGCACTCTTACTTCTCCAATAGGATGCAGTACACGGTATATAATGGTGTAGCTTCCTCTCCTTTGCAGACTGAAGCTGGTGTTCCTCAGGGTGCTGTTCTCTCGCCGTTTCTCTTTTCCTTCTTCTTACATGACTTACCTCTCTCAGACGAAATCAACTTCGTCAAATATGCAGATGACCTGACTGTTTCGCTTCCCGTTAAGTCTCAGTCAGACTGCTTCAAATTAAATAGCTTCCTGTCGGACATCAGTCAGTGGTCTAAAATAAATGGCCTAACGCTGAATCCCTCAAAATGCCAGACTGTCGACTTCTCCTTTAGGCATAAACGAGATCTACAAACTCTAGTAAGCACTCATGATGTCTGTAGAATCGAGGGGACTATAATTGAAACAAAGTCTAATGCAAAATACCTCGGATTAGTTATATCTTCCGACCTTACTTGGTCATCTCATATCCAAATGATTTCCAAGAAAGTGTTTCGTCTAACCTACTACATTAAGAAACTCAGACTAACTGGAGTCCCTCAACCTCTGCTTACGCAATTTGTCAACTCTCGTATCCTACCTATTCTACTTTACTGTTCCCCGTTAGTCTTTCCTGGGTTACTGAAAAAGGATTATACCATCCTGAGAAGGATGTTGAAGGTAGTTAGCAGGACTAGCGGTGTAAAACTCAGTCAGCTCGTCACAACATTAGTGGATAAGCATCTGAATACATGTGAGAAATGGTCTAAAACCATACTCTCTGACCCCTAACACCCCCTCTATTCCCAACTCTCTCCTTGCATCTCATCAGGTAGAACCAGAAA